GGAGAACCGTAGGCTCGCTTGCCAACTTCTCGCTTAAAAAAGAAGTAATTTAGATATGCCTAACAAAGCCGGGCCACCAAGAATTAGAATTGAGCCGATTAGAAGTATTGACATTAGAAATTTGAAGTGAAGCTTAAATTGGACATTACGTTTTTGTAAACGGCTAATATCCACGCCGATGAAAATGTCAGCGTATGTTATCTACTTTGTAGGTAAAATTCGTTGACATTTTCATCGGCGTTACGCATCGGTTTTCCGAATGTCACTGAAACATAAAATTTTATGGAGGGCAAACCGAGATAAAATTTTGTATGGTAATATGTACCTATAAGTTGTTTGAGGATCTGAACTTCAGAATTGGAATTTGATCATAAATAAATCATGCTGAGATTTGGGGTACTTGAATTTTCTGTCATAATGTTAAGATAACACACGTATAAAACGGCTTGCAACAGCTAAAGAACGCTACGCACGAAGATTTCCGTAACATTATATATCTATTAAAACGGCAAAAAATCATGTCTGTTGTATGGGAGACGCATTTAAATATTTTTTATTCTATTTTTTAGCATTTATTTTTAAAGTGGCAACAGAAATACATCATCTGTGAACATTTCAACTAACTATCGCGGTTCATGAGAAAGTCAGAGACTACAGCCTGGTGACAGACGGACAGACAGACGACGGGGTCTTAGTAACAGGGTCCCTTTTTACCCTTCGGGTACGGAACTCTAAAAATTTAGCTTGCGTATGTTTGTGTCCACAAACTCAACAACTAGCCAGTGGATTGACTTGATATTTATTCAAAAAATATTGAACATACCATTGAATAGGAGATTGTCTTATAAGTCTAGTCTAATTAAGTCTAATTGCCAATAATCATAAAAAACATTAACGTTTAAATAATCCATAATTAAAAAAAATATTTTTCATACAAACTAATTAATTAAAAAAGTAAACAAAATTTGTAAAATCCTATACAACTCGCGCCACAGCGTCGCATTACAAGCCTCTCCTTCTAACAGTATGATTTGTCTCTTTTAAATTCATTCAAACCATTCATATGCTTTGTGACCTTTACAAATGAACTTTACATTACAGTTTTATACGTAAGGTGTTCTAAAATTCTTTGTTTTGCTAAATTGATTAACTCTGTAAATATTGATGTTTAAAGAAAGTACATGTTTAATACAATGTTAAAAAGTTATCCTCTATATGTGTGTTCATTTATTGTCGCGATTGTAAAGACACGCTGTATAATATACAACGTGGGTCTTTTGACAATCAAATAATAACTCGTATTCATGAGAACGCTACACCTTGGCCTCAAAAAAAAAAAACATTTTAAGCATTTGACAGAAGCTACTGACGTGCAAAAATCTCAAGATTTTTTGCCCGTGCATTACGTGACGATTGTAGCGAACATGGCGCGAGAACCGTCGAAATTTTGCCACACCCATAGACGCGCGGCCGACGACGAAATTCCCAGACGATTATGAATTGCAAATGGCCCCGAAAAATATCCATTGTGAGCAAAGAGCAGCTATAATATTATAATATATTTTATGTACCTTAGATATTAACGGAATAATAAAACGACTAAACTCACGTATAGAATACGTAATTTCCGAACCTAGTCGATACATACGTCGTCACGTACCGACTAGATTCGGAACTATTGGAAGTCCTTCGTCGGGTTGAGTGGAATGAATTCGCGGTCGCGGCCTGGTCTTGCATTCTGTCTTGTATCCTAGATATAATGTTTCGAGTTACCTGTTGCGGATTTGATTGAACCATTGGTATTGAGGCCTTCAGTTTGTTTATAAACGTAATATGCGCGGTTACTCTCTTACTGCCGCTCAAGTCCTCCACTTACTTTACTACATAAGACAATGAAGAACATAAACCCAGTAACCGTAACATTAATTATCATCATGGGATGAACGGTACAGAATGCCTTTGGGCATTAAGTCCGCCCTTTGTTATCGTATTTTACTTAAGGTTGCAAATAATGTAATGTTTAAAAAAAAACCGGCAAGTGCGAGTCGAATGCGCACGGAGAGTTCCGTACCATTATATATATATGAAAACGTCAAAAAAAACCTGTACATGTACATATAGGACTCCCGCTTAAATCAATCTGTGAAAATCCATACCGTTTTACTCTTTGGGTACGGAACCCATAAAAAATAAAATATCTCCTTCACCGGCTAATATTCTATAAAAAATATAACATTTGTTAACAACTAAGCTTAGAAAACGCATGCTGCGACGTAAATGTCATCACGTCTCTATCTTTATGGAGGGCGCAGTTGCTATGCGAGAGAGGCTGTAGGGCGGATTGTATTCTAAAAAATTCAGTGGGTGCTCGCTTTGGTACAGCTGACTGCATATTAACACGGAATCTTCTATAATATAAGAAAGAGTATTCATGAAAGTGTGGATGTGGTTGCCATACCTGTTAAACCTGTTGAAGGGAAAACGTCTTCATTCAATGTCCCGGCTATAGATTGATGGTGTCGAAATGCGTTTGAACTATTTAATGGATGGAAAGATATTTATTTTGATACTTTAAGGTATTACGGTAAACTGTAATACGGTATACTTTATGAGGTCGTTAAACATAACTTAGAGTTATTATCAGCTTAGTATTATTAGCAGCATCTTAGGTAGCAACATAGGATTATTATAGCAAGACATCGCTAAACCCTAACGTTGCAAAAAATATATTACCGTGCATTTTATATTTTTGACTTTAGACATGCATTTATTAACTCCCCGTACGCGTTATTGTATGTCCAACTCTAATTGAATATTACAAAATCATCTGACCGATGACGTCCGAAAGAATTGCAATTTTCCACACTTTACAAGTAGAATCGTACTTGTACGTAACCGCCGCCTATGGAAACTTGCCACGTCAACATGGTTGTAGATGCATTGCCACCTTCTAATAAAGTGGGCCCCAGTTACCCCACTCACCAGAAACACAGAAGTATAACGCCTCCACCTCACGCCGCTTGATCTAAGTTATTACTTTATAAGTGGACTTATTATCTTATAATTATACTAGCGGATCCGACAGACGTTGTCCTGTACACACGACTTTAATCCGACAACTTAAAAAAAGTTGTGAATCTAAACCATTCTCGAATCGACCTAAAGACACCCAAAAATTTTCATTAAAATCGGTCCAGCCGATAGGAGTTCAGTGACATAAACACGTACAGAAGAATTATATATATAACTAGCTGTCCCGGCAAACGTTGTTCTGCCATATAAATTATTTCTAGGGAATTTGTAGGGTAGAAAAAACTGTTTCGGGTGGACCACCCTAAACATTTAGGGGGATGAAAAATAGAATAAAATGTTGTCCGATTGTCCACTCTGGCCGATATGCACACAAAACTTCACGACGATCGGTCGAGCCTTTTTGGAGGAGTTCAATTACAAACATCGTGACACGAGAATTTTATATATTAGAAGATAAACGGTTTTCTTGAAAACCTTCCCTTCCATCTTCGGATTAAGTGTACGAGTTCTAGAGAGAACTTCTTCTGAACATTTCCAAGTCTTGTTATACTTTTTGACTTAGCGAGTTCGATTTCACGCCGCATTTCAAACAGCCACTACTGTGGGAACCGAACAGATCATTGTTACTACGCAATACGAAATAAAATACTATAAGTAAATAAAATACTTATAATCCAATAAAACCAATCCTATGTGAAGACATAAAGCTTCAGATGGTATATATATTTGTTTTTATTCACACGTCCCAATGGTGTATGCAATTTACATTTACTTTATGAAAAACCTCTCCTTCAACTTAACTTAAACGATGTAACTTATATCTACCTAATTTTGTTTTGGTGCTAGTCTCCGCATTAAAGATGAAACTTCAAATCTGTAGATAAATTATTGTCGCAAAACATGATGATAACGCGCGATGAGGATGCTGACCGCTTAGCTTAGTGGTTACAGCGTCTGGGCGCTTTACCAGGAAGGCGCAGGTTTAAACGTTATAAACGAAACCTATCACAGACATAATAAATAAACGGTTTTCTCGATAACACACCGTTATGACTTGTGTTCGATTTAAAAACATAAAATGTCCATCACAATCTCTTTGAATAATTCTTCTATGACTTTATTAGTCTTAATTTTTGGTTTTGGGACGGTAGAATAAATTAGGAGACAAATGCTTGATTACCACCTTATTGTAACTCTGTAAAATACTTTTCACCTCTGTAAAATACTTTTAATTTTTATTTTGAGATGATAGAAGAAGGAAGCAGACAGCTTCTTGTTTACCACGTGTAAGTGATCACCTTCTAATGGACACCTGCAACACCAAGGGTTGCAAGTGCTGTGCCAAATTCCTAATGGGTGGGTCTTCGATTACTTCAGTCACCAGTCGAAACTCTAATGTAGTGAATTGAATAAATATACTTTACGCCAGCCTTCTGACAATTTCTCAGTATCGATCTGATACATTTCAGTGCAGGTCCATGGCGTAAAAACAGAAGCCGCTTTTCCACAAAATATAACAACGAATACTATTATTTATTAAGTAATATTGGTTTTTTTATGAGAATGTAAACGAGCTGGCGTTTCACCTGATATAAAATGATAAACCGCCTCCCTTTGACATTTGCAACACCCGTAGGGTTGCAGATGCGTTGCTACCTTTTAATAAAGTGGGCTTCGGTTATCTCACTCACCAGAGGAAACGCACAAATACACGCACAATAACACTTCTACTTCATACCGGTCTTCTATGTGGTCGTGGTACTTACCCGGACGGACTTGCCTATTTGCGCAACAGAGAAGACTGTTGCGTGGCCCTACCACAGTTAATTGCTTCTGTTCGTTGATTAATTAATTAAACAATAACTCTAATTATCGATCCTCACAGCGCCGTGGCCCTACATACAGTTAATTATTATCCTTCGTTGATTAATTAATTAAATAAGAATTCTAACTATCAATCTTCGCAGCGCCGCCTCACGCAGAAGTACAGCATAGCCGTGGGCGTGCCAACCCTGGTCATCCGCGGCAGGGCTGTCCGCGACGCGCTCCTGAGTGACCCGGCTGGTGAGAGGTTCCCCTGGCCGGCGCCCCCGTTGCAAGACGTGCTGCGCGGAGTGCAGCTGCAGGGGGCGAACGGCTGCAGACTGTTCGAAGAGCTGCCCGCCGATGCGGTCAGGGTGTTCTACTTCGCCGCCCATTGGGTAAGTCGACCCACCTCTCCCCGAAGTAAGTCAAGTCCAAAGACAACAAAGATTGGGCTTGTTTCAAGCCCGTAACACGTACCACTGGTTACGTTACACGAAAATAGACCAAAACAAGCTAAAACAACCTCACTCTCGTAAGGATTTTTTATCTTTGGATGTAATTCTCATATAATAAAAGGCTTACTATTTAATAATTGTGAATTTATCATTGTCATTTCGCAAACTAGGAATTATTGTTGAGTAGAATAAATACTAAATGAAACTAGTTTAAGGATTTTATCGCGTTTTAATTTTGATTTTTTAATTGACAGGACAGAGTCCGATCGAAACGTCTGGAATTACAAAATCATAATTAAAACGCGATAAAATCCGTAAACTAGTTTCATTTCATAATATTGTTACGTGTTAGGGGTTCGAAGGATTTGGAGAGAAAGACCTGCTGACTCTTTTGAAGACTTTATTCAATAGCACTAGGTCCAACACAAAGCACTAGGTCCAAACACTAAGCACTAACGGTGTCCTGTTTTGTAGCCAAGTCGTAGGTTTCACTGGTATCGCTCTTGATCACTAGTTTTCGCTCCGAAGTCGCCTCGAAGGTAGCTCAAACTGAACTGTATTCGCTCGCCTCCCCGCGGCTTTTTATATGCGCCGAGACCGGTTCCAGACTAATCCAGAAATATCCTTCCTGGAACGTACCCGCCACGCCCGAACATGTTCGTGATTCCGGAAAGTTCGCGAATGTACCCGGTTTTCGAGACTATAGTTCCACAGCAGTTCCTCTAACGCCATCTAGTATTGAATAGGGGGTTTTATGTCGTCTTTGTTCTTTAGTGATTTTAATAGTTGACGCTAGATGGCGTTAGTTCCTTTGTGTGTTCATAACAATATGTATAATATTCGCATAAAATCAAGTAGTCCATGAGAATACACATTGGGTGCATTTCAGAGAATACATTAGAACTTATTTAATGCCTTTGCCCCAATCGCATTGGGCGTCGCTTTCCTAATGGATCTCAAGACGTGGACACCCCAATCGCGTTGGGAATCACTTTCCTAATGGATCTGTGGACACCCCAATCGCATTGGGAATCGCTTTCCTAATGGATCTTAAGACATGGACACCCCAATCGCATTGGGAATCGCTTTCCTAATGGATCTGAAGACGTGGACACCCCAATCGCATTGGCTATCGCTTTCCTAATGGATCTCAAGACGTGGACACCCCATTCCAGTGCCCCCCCTGCCGCACGTTCGCGCCCAGCCTCTGCGCAGCGCTCACCGCGGTGCGGAAGCGCAGGGCGAAATACGCGAACACTCAGCTGATCCTAGTCTCCAGTGACAGGTAAGCCTTCAAGAAACAATGCATGTGAAAAAAGTAAAGTTACAGCCTATAAACGTCCCACTGCTCGGAAAAGGCCTCCTCTGTAAAGAGGGTATAGGCGCATAGAGTTCACTACGCGACTCCACTTCGATTGGCGAACTGCACATATTTACGAAAAAAAAATTTTTTTACTATTATTTCGAAAATATGCCGATTTACACAATGAATGCACGTGATAAATCGGTAACTAAAATAGTTGCAATCAACAACTCCATTGACCGGGATTTGTGTTCAAAATGCCCGAGCGATCCGTATTAAAAGTTAGCTCTTGCTTCGAATAAGCTCAGATTGCTTTTAGCTTTTTAGGTTTTCCGTACCCTAAGGTTAAAACGGGACGGGTTTGTTATAAATCAGTACTTAAAATTAGATTTTAAAAAAAATGTGTCTTGTATCTTGTATTAACTAATGTTTTTGCTTTCAGTCCCGAGACTATTAAAGCTTCATCGGACGCAGAACCGTTGGGCTAGCCAGAACCCACGGGTTTGGACCCTCCGCTATGGGTAGGGTCGCGCATGTGCTCATGCGTGCGTTTAACTACTATGGTGTGTCATCTAAGGGCCGTCGAGGTCGCCGGTTCGGACCGAGACCCCGACGGCCGTCGACTGTGCATTTAGCTAATCGGTGGCTGGGAGCGGTGAGAACCGCCCCGGAACGCGGGTGTACCTTGTGTACGCGTTGTGTGGGTCTCGCCGTGCTCGGAGGCGAGGGCGAACTGGTGTGATTGTTGTTACACTAACTGTGGGTGTAGTGTTATCCGGCGGGACCCCCGGCGGTGGGTCCATCGTGTCTAAGTCCTCTTCGTCGACCGGGTCGATGAGGACGTTTCGCGGGCGACGCTTGTTTACGTTCGCGTTTGTGTCCGGTTGGTAGTTTGCTGCGCTTACCACCAGAGGGTTGGGATGATGCTGGACTCTATCGAAGAACCGTTTTGTCAAATCTTTAAAATGTGCGCGAATCGTCGGGAGTCTGCAATCGCTGTGCAAAAGAATGTGTGCGTGTACTAGCGTACACTCGTAAGAAGTGAAACTTTTTTATGAAGTTATTTTTCAAAAAATAATTTACTATATGCAACTTTACAGAAATTGGTTAAATAAAGTTAAATTAGATAAAGTTAAATAAAAGGCTTTTATTATCATAGACATAAATACAAATTCTACAATTATTTCTACGTTTATATATTCTACATTTTAGCTTTGTATAATATTTAGTTTCTTATTTGTAATACATAGGTGGCGTTAGTAGTAAATTAAAACACACTATGGTTTGACCGTTGTAATTAGTATGAGGGTCCGCAAAAATTGTTGATTAAAAAACTTGCAACTTGCGACCTTCGTTGCCGAATAGTCAGCCAGTGAGTAGTAGGCAGACATTCGACTCGCGCGCGAGTTGTGAGTTAAGTTTTTTTGGAAAACCGAACTTGCGGACGGATTCAGATTGTGTCTTCGGTGGGAAGGCGCAGTCAGGTAACTGAAATACAAAATATATTGTTTACATTTTAGAATTAGAATGAAAATAAACCCTTTGATTTGGCTGATCACTTTAATATAACATATATAACACATATATATATGTATATATATATATATATATATATATATATTGTTATGAACACACAAAGGAACTAACGCCATCTAGCGTCAACTATTAAAACCACAACAACAAGATGGCGCGTAACGCAAAAATGTTACACTAAATTTTTTTCCAACCCCGATAAAGAAGTTTCACTTCAAAAATTTCGTCGCTGTCGGCCCCAGAATTGGAAATGATTTTGCTCAATACTTACTGTAAAGGTAATAAATAACACGTGAAAATCCATTTGACAGCTGATTAGTTGACTTCTACGTTGATCAGTGTTTCAGAAACCGGGCGTCAATGTTTCAAATCAATGAAGGTGCTGCTGGGATGTGTTAAATTGTGTTACGCATATTTTTTTTTGTTTGGACGCTTCGCTCCACAATTGCTTATAATCCTAAATTAAATGTTAAATTAAATTTAAGAAATATTTGAAGAAATAAAAATAAGTTTAAGCGTATGTTAAATCAGACAGAAACATAGATATCACACTATACTTCTTTGAACTCGTCAGCTACAAAGCCAACAAATGGTAGTAGTAAAATCTAGACGGTTATAAACTCATAAATGTGAGAATACTGAGCAACATGAAATCAGCAACATATCAGACCTCTATCTTATCTTATCCTTTAAACGAGCAATTTTTGTATATATATATATATATATATATATATATATATATATATATATATATATATATATATATAATCGGAATCTCGGAAACGGCTCCAGCGATTTTCATGAAATTTAGTATGTGCGTAAATTCGGGGGCGAAAAATCGATCTAGCTAGGTTTCATTTTTAGAAAATGTCCTTTTATCCGGGTTATCCGGTTATTCCGGGTACTTCTAAATAAATAGCGCAATAATATTTCACCAGTAACATGACGTATTAACAATTTATATAGAAATTTAACGTTATTACACTTCAGCAATATGTATGTGTAAAACTTAATTATTTATTTATTCATTGGATAACTAATATATAATAATATATTATATATAATATAATATAATATATAATAATATATATAATAATATAATATGATAATATAATAACGATACAGCCAATTAAGATATATACGAATTATTTTTTACATTATACAATAGATAACTGTTCTCACATTTATAAGTAACCGCATCATGCGTTGTATCCTGTTACTGTAATGAAAAACAAAAATATAAATATTAAACAAGTTAAAAATGAGACTAGCGAAAGTCTCAATCAACTTAGTCACGATAAAGGTCAGTCAGAATTTTCAATTTTTGCAATAAAACTAGTTGCAGAATGCATTCTATTTTGTAGGTATTTTGTTAAAAGCAAACTTAAATTTTCTCTATTATGCGCTTGTAACAACGTCAATAATATTCCCCCATCGTTGGAAATGAAATTCGATTTACTCGCGCTTTCAACCGAAAAATGAAATTTATGCAAGGTCTGTCTTTTCACTAAGCCCGTCTGTCTGTTGTTCATTACTTTAACAAATTATCAAACATTAAAACAGGCGTGTTAGTGTTACTTAAAATAACTTATAATTAAAATAAAACCGGCCAAGTGCTAGTTGGATTCGCGCACGAAGGGTTCCGTACTATATATATGTACTATATAGCTATAAAAACGGCAACAAAATTATATGTGTCGTATGGGAGCCCCACTTCATATGTTTCATTGTTTTTAAGTATTTGTTGCGGTTTTTATAGCGGCTACAGAAATACATCATCTATGGAAATTTCAACTGTCTAACTATACGTTGAACAATAAGTCCTGCAAATATTAAATACAATGATATTTTCATAAAGGATGTACACAGCTTGGATTCTCAAATATAGTATGCATCATCATGTATTTTTTTTTAAAACATTGCCCTTACTCATATACCTTTGTCTTATTTTTCCTTTTAATTAATAACATAAATTGTTATATTATCAATCAAAAAGAGTAAATTATCCATGTCTTTTCCGTACGGACGTTTCGCAAGGAGTCCCGTAAAAATAATTACAAAAACTCTCCCTCAATAACAATTACGCGGGGTGCTTTGAAATGTAATGCGAAACGGCCAGGGAAAACAGACCACTGGTTTAAGGGATAACAGCCCTTCCTACTTAAACCGTAGAGGGTGGAATAGCGAGCTCGTGTTCGACAAAAGAGATATGATTGAAATAAACAATTTTGGCATCATCCATTTGTCCTTCTAATTTTAGCCTGAGTGTAGGTACCAGGCAGGGATGTTAGGCTTTTACTAAGCTAGATTACTTGTATCGTCTTGTACTAGTCATTTTACAAAAGAAGTAAAAAGAAAGGCAAAATTGCATGCTCTAAAAAGTTGGGCACATAAGTTTACAAAAATATACTATTTGCAAAGATTTAGTCAAACAGCCCTCGTACGAGTATCAATTCCTCTTGATCTACACTTAGCCATAATATTCATATTAATAATAGAAATTATTATAAACACAATATATTTAAACATGTACACACTATTTTGTTAGTTGTTTTTTGTAGTTTGTGTTATCTAAGCAATGGGCTATTGAGTCATTCATTTAACGGATTAGACTCATGGGACATGTAATGTCGTTGTAATGTAGGATATCGTGTAACTTTAATGAAAACCTGAATACTGTCCTGGACTGATTTAAGTTATGAATCATGTGTCAATGTTTAAGTCAGCTAGTATTTTGTATGATATCAGATCAGAATTTGTTTTGACAAACTGTGTACGTAGCAGCGTAAGACACTACATACATTAGATTAATATTTATTTTAGGAATAGTCTACTAAAAATAAATATTAGTCTAAAGTATGAAGTGTCACACAAGGTGAAATTTAAAGAGCAAAGCCGTCATCTCTAGTTACAAATGATCATCTTTAAATGTTCTTTATGAGGTGCTTCATGCTATAAAATACGCCCACTAGATGGCGTTAGGCATTGTCAAAAATACAATAAAGAATATTGGGCCACGCAACAATTTTCGCTGATACACGAATCAATAATTAGACGACCCGATTGGCGTAATGGGTCGAGAACCTGCCTCTTGCGCCAGAGGCTGTGGGTTCAATCCCCACTACGAAAAATATTGTGCGACGAACATTAGTATTTTTCCAGTGTCTGGGCGTTTATATAACATGTATTTATTTACAAAAGAAAAGTACCTACGTTTAAGTATGTTTATCAGTTATCTAGTACCAAGTACAAGCGTTGCTTAGTTTGGGACTGTACAACGCCGTGTAAAATAAAATGTATCCTAAAATTATTTATTTATTTTAAAAAATGGACATGTCCGTCAGAAGCAGTACCAAGTCCTCACAGAAGACCTACGTAAGTAGAAGTATTGTAATACCTCTGCATTTCGTCTGGTAAGTGAGGTAACCGACCGAGGCCTTTATTAAAAG